CAAGTTCAGCACGGAGATCGTCGAATCGATCGACGGAGCCGTTGTCCCGCAGGAGATCGACGTGGAACTCGATGCACTCGCGCCCCTCTACCACGCAATCGTAAACCTCTGCGCAGAAATCCTCCGCCGGACCTTTGATGCCGTCAAGCCGCTGAAGCTCCTCCGGCGTCAGAGTGTATCGTTGAACTCGCACCCGCAACGGTTGCCGAAGGGCGAGCTTCCGCTTCACGTCGATGTACTTGCCGCGGTACACCACCACGTCCTTCTTCTCGTGGCCGTCCGTGTAGAAAGACTTCGTAGCCCGCTCGTACTTGCACCCCAGCGCGATCATCCAGGAGTGGGTTGTGGCCATGGACACGGGAAGGTTCACCTGGTACGAAAGGAGTCTGGATAAATCCCCGATCTCGTAGGCAAAGAGCCACTGGTTGATGTAGTTCTGGACGTCCTTGACCGTAAGGCGCTTCTGTGTCCTCATCCACTTGATGAGCTCATCCTTGAGGTCCTCTTCCGACATGATCCAGTCCCTCTCGTGCACCCCCCTTGAATCTCGCTTGAAACCACCGTGCCCCCGAAAGTCCCTGAGCCACCCCAGGATTGTCGATGCCGCGTAAACCCGCAAGCCAGCGGAGTTTACTCTCGCCGCGATCCGCCAGAGCGACGACTCGTGTCGACGACGCAAGGCCTCGTTCAACAGCTCCAACCGTTTGGCCTCTGCTGCCTTCACCGCTGGGATCGTCGTGTACGACTCATCCGACAAGCTCTTCGCCTGCTGCGCGAGTTCCAGTTGCCGCAGGTCGCGCTTCCGCTCCACCTTCAACACCGTCAACGCCGAGTGCCCTTGATAACACAAGCGGTTTGCTTGAGTGGCGGACACTTCCTCCTTGTACTGGTTGTCCTCGCCCTCGGTACACGCCCGTGGGTCCACGTCTGCATTTCCTTCGATGGGCGAGGGGGGGAGAGGGGCGAGAAGACTCGCGAGGTTTGCTCCGCCATAGCTTCCTCAATGCGCCGAATGTGGTGCTCATTGCTCTCGATCTGGGATGTCAGCTCGTAGATCCGGTTGCCGAGATACGAGCCCCGCTTGTCGAAGTCCCGTCGAAGCCTTCCTTTCCTCTTGCTCCAGCCCCGGGCCACCGAACGCCTCTCGCGCCTGGAAAGCGTCGTCTCTAGCGTGAAGCCTGCACGGGTCGCGTCCGAACCGGCCAGCCGCTGTCGCTTGAACTTCCTTTCCTCCACGGCGTTTAGCTGAGGCTGTTGCGCGATTTTCCTGTGTGAAATTGGGATTTCGGGTGGAGGCGTCAGCTCGTGTGAAACATTTGCATTCGACAGCAGCAGCGAAGTTTGACAGGAAAAGATCACTGCAAAGCACAGCGAGCCCTATCTGATCCCGCCCCCGGTATATGTTGATGTGTGTATTGGCAGTACAGCCGGTAGTTTTTTTTAAGGCATACGCAGATGAAGTAACATGCGGCGCAGGTGCATGGATGTTTGGATCAGTTGAAGGGGATCGCGTGCACAGAAGTCGACTGTACTTGTATTCGTGCAGGGAGTTTTTTTGGCCCGCAGCAGGGCACCACTGCAGCAGAGTACATGCAAAACGCACACGAAGATAAAGTACTAAAATAAAACCGTATCTACTGCTGTAGTATTGCCTGGGTCCGGTACTGTCAATATGTGATGATAGCGACCCACGTGCATGTGGAAATTTGGTCGACTGATTACACTTGTGAGAGCGCCTACAGGGGCTTTGTATTCGTGCAGGGAGTGTGATCGGGCCGCAGCAACGCATCACGGCAGCAGTATATGCAGAGAACACACAAGGATGAATTACTAAAACAAAGCGATAACCACTGCTGTAGTGTTGCCTGGGTCCGGGACTGTCAACATGTGATGATCGCGAAGCACGTGCATGTGGAAATTTGGTCGACTGATTACACTTGTGACGAGCATCTGTAAGGCCCCACACGGAGCTGCGCCCGCACAGCAGTAGGCATAAAGGTTTGAATAGACAGCAGTTGAGGAGTGCGTAAAGGTGTGAATGGTGCGTTCAAACAGCGCTTGTAGCACCGGTGAGTACAACAACATCGGGACCGGCAAGCCAGCATACGACACGCGCAGTCTTGTACGTGACAATGTCGTCAGCGCAGCTCGTTGCACCCGGCGCACTTTGAACCGAAAAATATAGAAAATGCTACATATGGGGAAAACAAAATTATCGCGATACGGTGTGGTGAAAATGAGTATTTTCGAANGCGCTTGTAGCACCGGTGAGTACAACAACATCGGGACCGGCAAGCCAGCATACGACACGCGCAGTCTTGTACGTGACAATGTCGTCAGCGCAGCTCGTTGCACCCGGCGCACTTTGAACCGAAAAATATAGAAAATGCTACATATGGGGAAAACAAAATTATCGCGATACGGTGTGGTGAAAATGAGTATTTTCGAAAGCTGCAAGTAGTACCCTCACGTACAGATACTGGCCGCCGTCGCCGCCGTCGCCGCTGCCGCGGCAGCAGCAGAGCAGCAGCAGCAGCAGCAGCAGCACGGCGGACGCGGTTTGTTTGTGGAAGACGAAAAAAAAAGCCGTTGCGAAATTAGAAAAAAATCAAGGTTTGGACACCAGCAACCTCTCACAAGAGGTGGCACTCGTTGCAAGCTTCCAAATATGTTGCTCCCCCTCCCTTGCTTACAGTAGGAAACAACGAGAGCGAGTGCCACGCGCAGCAAAGCCTGCTGTAGTGTAGGCATGCAGCGTGCGCTTTCGACCACTCGCGTTGTCCGCAGCCTGCTTCCACGAACAGCACCGATTTGAATATTGAGAAACATGATTGTGTGTGTACCCAATTTACGACTTGCCTGCTGGAAGCGCAGTCGCTGCCGCCACAGCTGCTGAGGATGGGACTGGATCTCTCATAGTGCGCTTGTAGAGCTTGCCGCAATGGCTGTACTCCTAGCCTGTCCTGAAGTCCAAGACGCCGGCAAGCGCTGCCTCTCGAGAAGCAAACCGTGAACTCTGCTGTCTTTTCCCCTTGTCTCCCTTCCGCTTTGTAAAGTTGAGGAACAACCGCCACTTGCCAGTGTTCTTCTCTGGATAGCACACGGGCATGGACGTCTTCTCCCACTGGTCTGTGGCTGCGGGGAAGCGGCTGGAAGCCATGCTGTCGCTCTCTGCACGGTGCTGCGCAACAGCAATGTGTGCTGCTGCTGTGCTTCTTTTTCAAAAATCCCTAATTCCGCCGCAAAAAAAAACGCTTCAATTTTTTTGAGCGACTCTAAAACCTACATGAATTGGGGGTGATATCTTCCGTTTTGAGAGAACGTCGACAATCAGCTGTTTGCCAACACGTGCGTATCCGCCTTGTTTGGGCGATTTGGGGGATATGCCGAACGAGGCCCATCTCTTTTTCCTTGATAAGCTATGGCGTGACGAACGCAAGTTGGTTTCTTGGCTGGACCAGCTTGTACGTAATTCCTAGAAAACGCTACTGGCCAAATTACCCTGCACGCCCCGTAGACAAGGAGAAAAGATCTACAGGGCCGTATGGATACCGCATATAGTCTAGGCGACACGATGTACCACACAACACCCCTGGACCAGTATTCTAAAGCTCGATTTCTCCAAGCACGGATGGTGTATGTGTGACAGCGCCGACGAAGCCCGGCGGCCGCGTTGAAGCTAGCCGTCTCGTCGAGAGCTTTCTGAAATCGCATCGCTTTCATTGTTGAGGGATAGACGAATGTGTGTACCTCTTCGCTAGACGAATCAATCTCCGAGGAAACCAAGTTCTTGCAATCTAACATACAATCTCCGCAATATCCATGCCCCATATTCAAGCAACTATTTTCCGGAGTAATTATCTAGAGAGTAATGAGGATGATAGATCGCCGGCGCCCCCCCCGTTCCCCCAGCTGCTCCCCTGCTTTCCCCATCCTCACGCTATTCTGTCTGGATGAGCGTAGTCCCACGGTGTCCATCATGGTTGAGGTGGTCATGTCGAATGAGTACATCTCGAGGCTCGCCGGGCTCAACAGACAGCAGTGCAGTCGACCCCGCTTTAAGGACACACCACGTTTTCCGTGTCTTTAACTTCGGTAAGTGTCATTAAAATTCCGGGGCCACTAACGCACCATCCCCGGGGCCAACGAAGGAGAAACATTTGTCAAAAGGTAGGTGCGCATTCGCAGGAGAAAGGCGACCACAAGAAGAGGTGTTGTTTGAAACCTACGACACAAGGTGATTTGAAGGTCGCAACCACTGCTGCTTTTGTGCTGCAATACATACTTGCATACCCTCGTTTGAATTTCCCCGTACTGTACCACCAAAACGCTGAAAGCGATGGTGGTGTTCTACGACCTACGCATCGTACATGTACACGACGGTAGTGCGCTGGTGTTGATATGGGCTTAATTATTTGCTTTATTTTATTTTTTAGGCGTTGTCCTCCCCGTGTAATATCTTGCCCAAGAAATCGCTACCGCACCTGAGAAATATCGAAGGTCGTAAAACGACACTAGGAAAATGTAGGCTTCGCAGAAACACAGAGACCAAAAATGTCGGGAAAGCACCGCGACAAAGAGGACACCGCGCCTCCCAAAAGTCAAAACGAGCACTCTCTCTGCTGTCTGTGGCCTTCCTCTCCGATGCCCTGACCACAAAACGCGTGCATGGGTCGCCCGCCCGGACACTGATGAACCAGTGACACCAGCGCAGATTTGAACTGGCACGCCGGTTCGCCGCATGGCTTCAAGCCGGCAGCAGACGAACAGCGAGCAGATGGAATGAATCTTTCCATACACCCACACGCAGTGTGCGGCTGCAGCAGACCGCTGTTGATGATCCAGGATCGGCTCAGGGCCCATAGGTAGGGCTAGGCGGGGACGTATTATATAAATTTTCGCGCGGGGCGCGAAAATACTTGAAGAGGCGTTTCCCCGGTCGGGCTGTTTTTTGGCTGTCTTTTTCCACTCCCCCCGATCCACTGTTTTGGGCATTTGTCCTTGAAATGTGAGCCGATTTCGAAACGGTTTCTTGCACTGCATTCCCAGGCACGTCTTGCATACCGTCCAACTTAATATTATTGTTGAAAGACGGCAGATGGTGCCGGAAAAAAA